GGTTAGGCACCTGCTGCTTTCCCTGTGCATTATCTGGCCACTTCCTCGAAGGAGGCCCACGTCTCACTGTGTTTCTCTCATTCAGGATCTGAGATGTTGTTTGGTTGTATCTATTTCTCAGCGTTCAACCCGGTATCCTGTGAGCTTCGTGTAATAAAAGCCGTTATCATGGTTTGCCATGGACTGTACCTTAGGAGAGAGTTCGGGTAGGCAAACCTGAGATACGGCCCTCACCTCTGCAAGTCGGGAGTAGCTCATCATCCCTCATAGTCATCCCAGTTCTTGGTGGGCAGCACGGGATAAACCCCCGCGCTTGCTCTCGTCCGGGTGTTACGTGCGCACTGTGGGGCACGTCGCAAGACTGTGTGTGACTGTATAAGGAATTGCAGTACTTTGAGGAGGTCTGTGGATTCATCTGATGTTTGCTTTTAAACAAGTCTCGTGTCCAGTTGAGCAGGGCCGCTTGGATGCAGTCTGAGCAGTAGCAGCTTCATTGTGGGAAGGGAAGTTGGATGTTCTCCAGAACCTGCCAAGATTTTTCTTAAAAAGAGAATAGGAAGGAACCTACACTATAATTCTCAGATCTTTATTTTAAATATGTCTGTCTAGGCCAGCCCAGAGAAATGTGTTTCATGGGTTGAAACAGAGCTGATTCGGGCTTGATGTAAGGGGAAAGGTTTCCCTGTGAGGACAGTCGCACTCTTTGGAACACGTTGCCAGAGAGGTTATGAAGCCTTCATCCTTGGAGATGGCCAAACCTTGAGGAAAGCGGCCTCGGGTCAGCGCTGACCCCATGCAGAGCTGGAGGTTGGGTTAGGTGCCTGCCAGAGTCCCTCCAGCTCAAGGGTTCTATAGACCACGTGAGAGGAGCAAACCATCGTCCGCGCGTGTGTAAACCTGGTAAATTATGAATATTTTCAGGTTTGGAGACTAGAATTAGTGCATTTTTTGGTCCCATTTTAGGGAAATAATCCTGTCTTCTTCATGAGCATGTGTTTGCAACCGGAGTTCATCGAGTGTGACATAAGAGTTTGTGTCTGTGCACTTGGGTCATGGTTGTGAGCATCCTGCTCCATCTCTGTGCTCATCCCTGGGACACAGGACCTGTTTGTAAAGTGAAGGTGATAACGATTAATATCGTTAATGTATCCAGGAACTTGAGCAAAGATTAATCCGTATTTATGGTTCAGGTTATTGCTAGGCCACATGTATTCTCTCTTATAAGTGTATTTTATATGCCTGTCAGAAAATAGTTCTCAATATGAAATTATTAAAATAGTAACTGTTCCTATCAAAGATATAAAGCCTAATAATGGTAGCCTTTGTGCAATTTCTTTTTCATGCTATTGGGAAAACAAATGAATTAAACTGTAATCATAGTTTACTTTTTTATTTCTTGCAAACATTTACATTTAAAATGTAATAGATGAAAACTAACAGATGGTCATGATCTGCTCTCTTCATACTTTTCCATTTTAAGTTTAAAATTCAACATATTTTAAAATATGTTTCCAAATCCCTGTTCCGAACTGAAGTTTTGCTTGGAGCGGTTCGGCCGCCTTCCGTGCTCAGGCTGCAGCCTGCAGCCCCCCCCGGCTGCTGCTGCCCCTCGGGCTACGGGGAGGGCAGCGGTCAGACCCGTGGAGCTGTGGTTTGGATCCCTGCACTCAGCTCTGCAGAAAGCCGAGGGTGCAAACTCAGAGGGAAAATCCCTCTAATGCATCTTTGCATAATGCAGCAAAGCTGCTTTGCTTTGAGGAGGGCGTAGACCTTTGCAGTAGACCAATGAACTTGAATCCAAAATTAAAGCAGAAAGCCTCTGCTTTTCTCCTGCCTCCTTATTTAAGGAGCTTGGTGATGGGGCTGCAGAGTATTTGATCTGAAACGTGAGTGTGTGTCTGTAACGTGGTCAGCAGCTCTGTTTGCTTTGGGTTTCCACCGTTTTATTTTGGCTTGACTACTTTTAATGGGAGGTAAACAGCCTAGCAATTTGAGTGCTATAAATATAGATGAAGTTTTACAATTGCCCTGGTGCTAGAAAGGAATGTAAAGAATGATAAGGACTGTAGAAGTTTTGAGCATGTTCTTACGTTGGAAGGTCTGTAATCCCCTCTTTTCTTCCCCTCCACCAATCCATTAGTATTTTCATTTCATTTATACTGACATTGTAGACAAATGTCCTCTGTTTAATTTCTGTTAAAGGTAAATATCTCCTAAAGACATACAATTAGGCTTAGATGGGGATCATAAGTTTAAATCCTGACGTCTTTTTGACGAGCGTCTATATTTCAACTCTCTTTAACAAACCTTGACAGGATCCATCCACTCTGCAGTAAGGTGAAGTTAATTTTGTCCCTAAAGCACTAAACTAACAGGGTTTAAAAAACAAACAGAGTCAATGACCTCATTCCCTTGATGTCATCTCAATTAAATAGACTTCTTCTCCAAGAGGAAAACAGAAGAGTAAATAATTGCTTCCATAGTAAAAGAAAATAAACTTCCCAGTCCAAGGGGGAATTTCTCTTATTTACTCCCGCACATTGTGTGAAACTGGGGGGGATCCCTTGTGCTCAAACACGGCGCCAAAAATGGCCATTTCAGGTGCTTGCAAGATAGGATGTCCCGCAACCTTCTTTAATGAAATCCTGAGAAATCGCCCAGAAATGACTGAAATTAATCTGGAGAAATCAATGAGGACTTTAATTAGGGCTCTAGTTCTACGGCATTAGAATTTCTTGGGAGGTCAGTGTTAGGCTGCCTGTGTGCCAGTCCGCTCCACCTTTCTCCTTCAGTAAATGAGTTGGTGTTTTCCCATCATAAATTAGTGTAAAGTGCTCTCTGAGATAAGTTTTAATTAAATTCTTGTCCAGAGATGAAGGTGTGATTTATGAGGTCAAAAAATGAATGCAATCACTCTTAGAAATGCAAGCGCCACTGCTTCACAATCATCTTTTGAGTCTCTCTGTGTGTATATATATTTTTTAACTCTATCAACTGAAAACCAGTGAATTTCCCAGGACTTCGTTTTCTCTTGTGTCCCTCACAAAGAAGGTCCAAAGACTTTTCCAACTCAGCTTTTGCCTCCTGAACAAATGTGGCTCAGCCTCAGTGCCCACATCCCCGTTGTTTCCTGGAGGCCCCAGCACTGATTCGTCTCATTTTAAGATCTGCTGAAGGGGAGCCACGGTGTAAACCACGTGGATCCACAGCAAGGCAAAGTAATTAATATTTATTAAAATATTCCACTGACAAGGGTTTTTTAATACTCAGAGGAAAGTTTTGACGAGCAGCAAGTTTTGATTGCTGCCTCTTTAGGATTAAATCCTAAGGTTCTTAGTCAAGCACAGCTCTTGAAATTAGTCCTTTGCATGTACGTCCTTGCTGACAGGTCTCTGCCTTGACATTATAATTCTTCGTCTTCAGTAACGTTGCTTACTAAGTAATCCAGATATCTTCAGGCAGCAAAGGTTATTTATTTGTCGTTTCACTTCAGACAAATAAGAGCCTTTGGAGAAAGGAGGAAGATAAGAGTATCTTGATTCTGAGGAAAAGATATAGCTTTATGGCATATTTTTCATTTGGGCTAGACAAAGTCTGGAGTGTAAAATTCTGCATGGAAAATATTGTTTAAATTTCTTTCTGATTAATAATTGGATTAATTTTTAGATTGCAATTTTTAGGCCATGAGTAAGATACTGTGTAAGTGGGTTGATTTTCACAGTGGAAGAATGATTTGTTTCATACTGTTCTTTTTGCCTAAAGTTAAATCCACAGGATCTATCAACTGGGTATTTAAAATATTCGGATTGTGACACTCGGGTAACTATCACTTTAGGGGTAGAATCTGCCACCCTTCGATAACATCACAGTCTTGGATGACAAAACTGAAATGGATTTTTGTTAACCCTCTCACATTTGGAAACCTTTAAAATGTGTGTGTTTTTTTGAGCCTGGAATAGCTATCTGTAAAGGGAAGAGGACGTTACTTGCTCTGCCTGGTGCAGTTTGCCTGTTTTTGTACTCTTTTTGGCTTTCCTGACTGCTTCTCTCAGTTTCATTACGCTATGTTTTAATGACTAACTCGGGATTCAGGATTTTTATTATTGCTGCTTTTCTTCCATGCTACGGACTTCCCTCACTGGCATGAATTACTGGAGCAGGAGCACTCTGTGAGGCTGCACATTCACTGGGGCGGATCTGTAACACCGGGAACACAGAGACAACAGTTTAACTCTTATCTTTTCCACTGATGTGGGAAACTGATGCTTCTGGACTCCCCATTCCTCTCTGTCTGTCCCCCTTCCCATCCTCGTCTTCCATGTAGAGCATTAGCATTACCTGGGGCTGCTCTTGGTGCGGCGAGGAGCCGCTCGTCCGGGGACGTCCGTGGCTGCCCTGCGCTGTTCTCGTGGCGTCTTCGGGCGCGCGTCGCCTCGGGGTGCGCGGAGGAGGCGGTGACGGTGCCGCGGGGTGACCTGTGCCCGTCTTGTCTTGCAGCGCTCGTCGTGAGCACCACGTCCGCCGGCTTTGCCATGGCCCCCGTCCCCTTCGACGTGACCTGTTTCCTCCTGGCCTCCCTCGGCACCGGCCTGGCTTCCTGCGCTGCCAACTCCATCAACCAGGTGAGTGCAGCCGCGTGGCATCCCCCGAGCCGGGGCCGTCCCCGTCCCCGTCCCCGAGACGCTGCCAGAGAGCGAGGGGCGTTGGGAGCGCCGGGTCTCCCGTGGGAGCATGTCCTGATCCGGTAGAGCTGGCGCCGCGCGAGGAATCGATGCCTCCGAGCGGCAGTCGCGTGCCTAGGCACAGTGTGGTTATTCCGAGCTGAGCTGGTGGAGTTTTAAGCCTCCCAATAATTACGTTTATCTTGAAAATACCAAGTGTGGGTCACTGGGAATGACACAGGCTGAACGCTGTGATTATATCCTGCGAGTATCTAGCAGGGCTGCAGCGTAACGGGCTCGGTTCTGCGGCTGCCCTGCACTCTGAGCGGGTCCAACAGGTCCAAGAAAAGCCTCCGAGTGGCTCACGGAAGGTCTCTGCTGGGATCTAGGTGAGGATCGTGTCCTTGCACTTGAATTTGAGTAGAGAAATGTGAATCACGCATCATGGATCGCACAACATCTCCAGAACATAGTGAAAATCTCTGTTCCAGCAGTCGCCTTGAGATGGGAGCCCTGGATCCTGGGTTCCCTCTGGCAAAAGGCATCGAGGTTCCCTGGAGGCTGCGTCCAGGGACCAGCCTGCTTGGGTCGAGCCCTTCGGTGCCTGGGCCTCAGCGCACGGGAGCTGCAGCTGGTGGGCTCGTCTGGACTGATGGCCTTGTCTGGGCTTCTCCCCCAAGCACGCGTCTTGCTCGCACTGAAGGAGGTGCCACATTTACTGTTTGTCCTCATGGAGCTAAAAATTGGGGTCAGCAGCTGAATTTTGTGTCTGTTTCCTCTATAGGAAGGATGCGGCATGGTTTGCTTGGAAATCTTTAGGTGAAAACACTTGGCCTTTAAAAATAATCTGAGTGAAGTCATATGATTTTGGGAAGTGTAACTTTGGTTTTCATGTGCGTATTTATCACAACATAGGAACTCCTGTGCAGAAAAGCTACCATATCTAAGGGGAAACTTTCTTGTTTTTGTTATGCTTTTTCCCTGCTTTTTATCCTCATACTATGATACTATGGTAGGGTTTTTATGTGTGTGTGTGTTTTTTTTTTTAATATAAATCACTTGGAGAACCCACAATACTTGGAAATAATTTACTGTCATATTTAGTTTGCATTTTGAACTGGATACTCTAGGACCAAAAAGAGAATTATTTCTTGTTTAGTGACTCTGTGCAACTCTTATTTCCTGAGCTTCTGATACAGCCTTCTAGAGATGATATTAATGCACAAGGAGCCGTTTTCCTTTGTTTCACTTGTATGTATTCTCCGTTGTTGTATTTTTGTCTCAAAAGTAACTACTTTACAAATATTTTAAAAACTCTAGGAGTGCTTAGGTGCGCCGGGAGCCTGTGGCGTAATTTGGAGTTTGACACTACCGAGGTTTGCTGGGATGGGAAGGTCAGGAGTGCGATGGGGAACTGCTCCCGTTGAGGAAAGGGAAGCAGCGCTGGTGTCCAAGCAGAGGAGAGCAGCTGTTGTTCAGCAGCTCGTTTGTCAGCAGATCATTTTAGTCGACGACTGTCCTTTACCGGTGTTGCTCATGGTTCGCTTTGCACTAGGGGTGGGAATTGGAGTGTCAAGATGGGAATTTGGCTGGGAATTTGAGCGGGAACTGCTCCCGTTGAGGAAATGAAGCAGCGCTGGTGTCCAAGCAGAGGAGAGCAGCTGTAGTTCAGCAGCTCGTTTGTCAGTAGAGCATTTTAGTCGACGACTGTCCTTTACTGGTGTTGCTCATGGTTTGGCTTGCACCAGAGGTGGGAATTGGAGTCAAGATGGGAATTTGGCTGGAAATTTGAGGTTTGATAAATACCGAAAGCTCCAGCACGCAGCTCGGCCTCAGGAAAGCAGCCGGCCCGGCTTGGAACTTCCCTCCGTTGCCCCTCTGCTCCGTCCCTTGCTCCCAACTCACATCCCCTTCCCTGCAGCTCATGAACTCACGTTCCCCTTGTTGTTCCTCGCTGTCCCTTAAGGACCTTTTTATGTGATAACCATCTTTCCGCTTCCTCCGTTCCTATAAATCTGTGCATCTTCAAGGGCTGCGGGTCTTTCCCAGCCCTCGTTTCCCTGATAAATGTGTGCCACAGCTCGCAGTCCCCGCCGTGCCGTGGGAAGGCAAAGTGGCGAGGGTGCAAGATTCCTGCCCGTGATTTACAACAGGATGTGAAAAACTTGTGTTTTGTGAAAATTATATAGAGGCTGCCTAATATTCATGGAGGTATTAATACCAACTTGTAACTATTTAGATACTGTGTTTTGAGTTTCCTTTTTTTCCTCCTCCTCATAATAACTGTCTGGTAGGAACTACAGCCAGCTTGAGCCTGTCAAACTGAGTCAGAAAGAGCTAACTTGTTCAAAACTATTGGGGAGGGAGCCAGGAATATACTAAGTAACCCATGCAGACCAAGAAGGGATATATTTTGTTTCCATAGAAAAACGGTTTAAAATAATCTCTTAATTATTACTTGCCCTGTTGATTCTAGACTGCCTTATGTCATACTTGAAATGTTTATTTTTTTCCTAAATGCAAGGGTTAGAAATGCTATGAAAATTTACCAACGGGGAGATTTTCACCCCACTCTCACTTAAGGGGAAAAAAAAGCAATAGTAAAAAGTGGTGGGACTTGGTGACACTGTGTTTTTCCATTGTTTATAGAAGGGCAATTTGGATATCAATTGACCAGTGTCATGTATCTTCCCCCTCACAACCCATAAATTCTAGTTGTATTTTCTAGTGCAAGAAGAAATAATATATTATTATGACAATGCAATGGAATTGGATAACAGTTTTATTAATAAGCTAGTAAGTTCTTTTTGAAGAAATGAAGAGGAAGACATTGAAGAAGTTGTGTGTGAAAATAAGCTGAAAAATACAGGCAAGAGCTGACCCAGTTCGGGATGGCTTTTGGGCAGCGGGCAGCGCAACGGAGTCATCCCAGAAACGTTTGGGTGGGAGGTGGCAGTGAAGTGTTTTGGAACAGCCTGTGTTAGGCAGGCGTGTGGCGGGTGCAGAATTGCGTGGACTTGTGGAAAGCGTTAGGAACTCCATTCCTCCAGAGCAGCCGGGGGGTGTCTGTCGCACACACGTGTGTCTAGGCACCGCGCACTGTGCTGGACACCAGGGAACAGCGGGAAGGTGCCGAAGGAAACGTGGTCGTTTGTTCCGTCCTGCCCCCGCAGCGCTGCCTCCTGTCGCTCCCCCTGTCACTCCAGAGCTGTCCCCGTCCCCCACGGCAGCGTTCCTGTGGGACCCGCTCCCTTCCCGTCATGGCGCCGCGTCCGCAGCCCGCACTGTCACAACTGTCACCACGGCTCAGTCCCCCCTGCTGTCTCCCTTCCTCCTCCTCTGTGTTTTATTTCCTTTTTCTTTAAGAGCTCTTTCATTTTTCCAGCATTGAAATCACTTTCAAGTATTTTACACAGGTGTTTTCTGTGCCCGGTGTTTCTTTTATTTTTTTTTTTTGCAAAATGATCCAAATTTTACAGTGTTTTTGCTTTTAAAAAAATCACTTTATGCGTTTGCTGAGGAATAGACTGAGCTATTTTGTTTTCACTGTGACACAACTAAGGCAGCCAGACACATTGGAAAACCTCAGTGTAAGATCAGTCTGACTAACTGCAGTTATGGTAAGAAAAAGGAAATAAGTTTTGGGGTTTGGCTTGTAAACACTGCATGTTAACCATGAGAAAAACAAGAATTATTCCTAGTCAAGCGCTTTCTTACAAGGTCTACTTCCCTGACTCTCTCAGTGCTCTGTGGCAGTATGAGCACGAAATAAGGTATTTAGCCTCATTGTTATTCCCTAGAAATTACAGAAAAAAAAAAGAATAAGCAAAATATTGGTTTTCTGAAAGCCTCATGAAGACCTAATTTTCCTAATGTTTTTGCTCCCATACTATGCACATGCTCTCAGTAAAATGGAGTGTGAGAAAGATAGCTGGTAATGTTCTCCTATTTTACAGGTCTGGTTTATGATGATTTCTGAAAGATGACTCAAGTTTCAAGTGGTGGAGTCTTACATTTATATTACAGAGAAAACATGTCATTTTTGAGACTTCTGAGATATGGCCTCTGATTTATGGGGAAGAAGATAAAACATGAAGAAGTGTTTACACCACAATACACAGCATTAAGACGTTGAAAGAATCACATGCACGTTTTATATGTCAAGGACATTCTTCTGCAGCTGTAGAACGGTTAACAAGTGGGAGAGGGCCATGAAGATGAAAGCAGGATGTTTAAAGTGGCTTGAATTTAGTAACTGGGAGATAAAATGATGTGGTTGGATTTAACTGATAGCCCCTTGGAAAGGAAGCGGGCAGGACTGAGTATCTTCACTCGAGTTAGCCTAGAGTAAGAGATATAGGAAATATGGTAACTGGGGCACAAGAACAGTCCCAGGCACGCTTAATATCCCTGTGGGTTTGATCTTACGGGTAGGAGCAGGAGGGCTGGCACCTCTAAAGGACTTGCTGAGTTTTTCTCTTGACGTCAACTCTTAGAGCGATGGTCACTTCCAAGAGTGGCTTTAGCAGGCAGGAGGGGCGGTCTGGGTGTTAAAACAGTGGAGAGAAGTTTGGGACCCAAATCGAGTTGCCAGTGTGCTGTTCAGACCCATGTGTGGCTTTACAGGGTCAGGGCAAACTCAGGGAGTCATGCAGGTCCTACAGTGATGAGCACCAGGCCAAAAAGGAAGCACAATGGCCTCCCTTGCCTCCTCTAATCCACCTGCTGTAGCAGCACTGTCAGAAAGACATTTGGAGTCTTCACCTTTTACCATATTGTGACGTTCTAGAGTGACTAGATTGGCTGTTACTCTCAAAGCAGCTAAAAATCTAATAAACCTCCTTGGATAAACAAACACTTCCCTGCCTTCCAGAGGAAGAGACACTGGGGTTACAAATACGGCAGCGTTTAACACCCCCGAGGTGCCCGCAGCACCGACGGGGGCTGCCGGGTCGCGTTGC